AGACTCGCTTGAGCCCAGGAGTTGGAGGTTGCTGTGAGCTGTAATGCCATGGCACTCTACCCAGGGGGACAGCTTGAGGCTCTGTCTCAAAAAAAAGAATGTAGTGCCCGATGAACAATAAGCACTCGGTATATGGCTGGTTGTCAGACTGCTTTGAGGATAATAAATAACAGTTTCACTGCATGTAATATGACCAGGACTACTTTGTAAAGCATAAAATGTGTCTGACCCTCACAACGATCCTATTAAGTATTTTGCAGGTAAGGAAGCTGGCATAAAGGCGTTCCTAAGATAGTAGCAGGTGACCAAGCACCATGTTAAAACCCAGACGTTGAGCTATAAATTAAGCGGTGCTACCTCGCTAAGTATAAAGAGCACATGAAAAGCTCACCTGTGACCAGCTGATAGCGCGTGCTCAAATCGGGGTAGTTATTTTTAAGGAGTCGGTGTTGTTGAGCGCAGGCTGAGCGCAAGACCCCGCGCCAGGAGGTGGGTAGGGACTACCACACCCGCGAGGCTCCGCGCCCGCCTAGAAGGCGCTTCCGGCTGGCCTCAGACTCGGGTGGAGCATTGGTTCTCCGCGGCGGAGGGATGCTGGCTTACGATTGGTAAGGTTGCAGTCAGCCACGCCTCTGGAACCCGGAAGTAATCTCCCGGGCACGCTGCTGCGTGGTGGAGAAGCGGGACTGTGGGTCTGGCTGTGGTCAGACTGTGATTCTCCCTCCCGCTGCAGAACGACTCTGACTTTTTGAGGGCTGCTTTTGAGGACTCAGGCCCCGAAGCTGCCCCAGGGAGGTCCCTGTTGCATACTGCTACTCAAGCTGTGTCTCATGGAGTCTACGTTCAGCACCCCTGCAGAGGCGGTGCTGCAGCGGGAGGCGGGGGTCCCGGGACTGCTCACTCCTCCCGAGGACCTCGACCGAGTGTATGAGCTGAAGCGAATCGTTGGATTTGTCCGGGACCTGGAGTGTCAACGGGTGAGGGCAGGCTTAGGGAAGGGTACCTCACCTCTGTGGGGGTGAGTCGCCCAGAGGATCGGGATATTGGGGAATTTCGTGAGGATAATGGGAGGAGAGAATCAGGATTTATCCACAGCGCGTCGATATCCCTCCATCTACTCCGTGGGGCGGTGTGCCCGTTTAGGACCAGGACTTTGAAGGTTGAGTGGGGTTAATGGAAGGTTTCCTTTGCAGAGGCCCTCAGTATAGGAGACGCTGTCCCCGACTCCACAGTTTATGCTTATAGGTGGCCTTGCAGTTTCCTGACCAGCTACTGGGAGATGCTAGGGCCGTGGCCGCACGACTGGAGGAGATCACGGGATCGAAGATGTTCATTCTGGGTGATACAGCCTATGGCAGGTGTGAACTTGGGCTAGCCTGGGGACCCAGGCCTGACGGAGTTCATGTCTGTGATGATGTCTCCCTTCAATAGCCGTGTTTCTTCTTGATGATGATGGTGATAGCAACCCTTCTCATGTTCCCTTTAATGATAGTGTCTTCCTTTCATAAAGTCATTTTCTTCACTAACTGCATTTCCCTGGTGACATTAAGTCTGTTCCTGATGAGAACCCCTCTCACTGAAGGTATATCTCCCCTGCAGCTGCTGTGTGGACGTGCTGGGCGCTGAGCAAGCTGGAGCTCAGGCTCTTGTACATTTTGGCCCTGCCTGCTTAACTCCTCCAGCCTGCCTATTGCCAGTTGCCTTCGTCCTTGGTCAACGTTCTGTGTCCTTGGAGCTCTGTGCCAAGGCCTTTGAGGCCCAGAACCCAGACCCCAAAGCACCTGTGGTGCTGCTGAGTGAGCCAGCCTGTGCCCACGCCCTGGGTGAGGGGTTATGCCTTTTTATATAGGAAGGTTGGGCCAACTGCTTTGTGCCTTAATTTCCCCATTTCGGTGGAGCAACTCATGGTTTTGACCCTAGTCCAGGGGTCCTCAAACTTTTTAAACAGGGGGCCAGTTCACTGTCCCTCAGACCGTTGGAGGGCTGGACTGTGGGCCCCGGGAAGAGTCGGCTGCTAAGCAGGACAGGCTGCAGTGGCAAAAACACCCGGTGGGCTGGATAAATGTCCTAGGCAGGCTGCATGTGGCCCGTGGGCTGTAGTTTGAGGACGCCTGCCCTAGTCTTTTGAGTCACATTTAGTCTTCCGGGGATGAGGGAGCTCTTGCTTTGTCAGGCTCCAACCCTGACACCACCTCCTTCTCTTCCAGAGGGCTTGGCCACTCTCCTGCGCCCACGGTACCTGGACCTGCTAGTCTCCAGCCCAGCTTTTCCTCTGTCACTTGGGTCCCTCAGTCCAGAGCTTAAGCCCCTGGAGTGTTTTGGGCGCCGTTTCCCTCTGGCCCCAGGGAGGCGTCTAGAAGAGTATGGTGCCTTCTATGTGGGGGGCTCTGAGACCAACTCTGACCCCGACCCAGACCTGAGCCGGCTGCTCTTGGGATGGGCCCCAGGGCAACCCTTCTTTTCCTGCTGCCCAGACACTGGACTTACTCAGGATGAGGGTGTCCAGGCTGGGAGGCTGAGAGCACGAAGGCGATATCTGGTAGAGAGGGCCAGAGATGCCCGAGTAGTGGGGCTGCTGGCAGGCACACTGGGTGTGGCCCAGCACCGTGAGGCACTGGCACACTTGCGGAATCTGACTCAAGCCGCCGGGAAGCGTAGCTATGTGTTGGCCCTGGGGCGTCCCACCCCCGCCAAACTTGCCAACTTTCCCGAGGTGGATGTCTTTGTACTGTTAGCTTGTCCTCTGGGGACCCTAGCTCCCCAGCCTTCTGGTAGCTTCTTCCGGCCTATATTGGCACCCTGTGAGTTGGAGGCTGCCTGCAACCCTGACTGGCCACCTCCAGGCCTGGCTCCCTACCTCACACATTATGCGGACTTGTTACCTGGTGAGTGGTGGGACACTGCCCAAGCTGGAAACTTGGGGCATAGAGTTAGGGGGCCAGTATGGATTTTCTTTCTCCCGCCTTTCCAGGCTCTCCCTTCCATGTGCCCCTCCCACCGCCTGAGTCAGAGCTGTGGGACACCCCAGATGTGTCACTCATTACTGGGGAGCTTCGACCCCCACCTGCCTGGAAGTCGTCAAATGATCCTGGATGCTCAGCCCTGACTCCACAGCCCCAGCTAGAGCTCATTGAGAGCAGCCCTGCTGGTAAGTGTGCAGATCTCCACATCCAGCGGAACTCTTTCTCCAGATTCAGCTCACTCAGCCTGAACCCCCTCCCTTTTATAGCTTTATTCCTTAGTTCCCGGAGTTGGCAGGGGCTGGAGCCCCGCCGGGGTCAGACACCAGTGACAGAAGCTGTGATTGGAAGACGAGGGATTGCCATCGCCTATGAGGATGAGGGAAGCAGCTGATACTGTGTGGGGCCAGAGACACAGATAGACTTATCAGTCACTGCTAGGACTACCTGTACCTTTAGTGCTTCCTGTACCAAACTCCTATTCTCTTGGCAGGATCCTGGAAAGAGCCTGGGTGGGGGAGGGCAGGCAGTCCCTCACTGGGGATAGGATTTGTCTCTGGCACAAGGCTTAGCACATATTGGCTTAATAAATGCTGACTTGGCACCTGTGGCTCAAGCGGCTAAGGTGCCAGCCATATACACCTGAGGTGGCAAGTTCAAATCCAGCCTGGACCGCCAAACAATGGCGGCTGCAACCAAAAAACAGCCAGACGTTGTGGCGGGCGTCTATAGTCCCAGCTACTTGGGAGGTGGAGGCAGGAGAATCACTTGAGCCTAGGAGTTAGAGGTTGCCACAGCACTCTACCCAGGGTGACAGCTTGAGACTCTGTCTCAAAATAAATAAATAAAATAAAAAATAAATGCCTATTATTTGGGTGATGAAAAAAATGACTGGGGCTTCGCTGAGGCCTTCTGGACCTGGGAACAGCCTACGACCTTTGGCCAATCCCAGTTCATGGTCTGCACTTGAGGGTATGCCTTTGTCAAAGGGCTGGTACTACATGCTCTAGACTAGGGTTTCTCAACTGTGGGACTATTGATGTTTTGGGCCAGATAATTCTTTGTTGTGGGGGCTGTCTTGTATATATTAGGCTGCTTAGCATCCCTAGCTTATGTCCACTAGACATTTGAACACCCCAACTTTGCTGGGTGTGGTGGCTCGTGCCTATAATCCAAGTACTCTGGGAGGCTGAGGCAGGTGGATCATCTAAGCTCAGGAGTTCAAGACAAGCCTGAGCAAGAGTAAGACCCTGTCTCTAAACATAGCCAGGAGTTGTGGTGGGTGTCTGTAGTCCCAGCTACTCGGGAGGCTGAGGCAAGAGGATCACTTGAGCTCAGGAGCTTGAGGTTGCTGTGAGCTATGACAGCATGGCACTCATGACAAAGTGAGACTCTGTCTCAAAAAATAAAAGAAGCACCCCAATTGTGACAATCAGAAATATTTCTAGACATTGGCATATGTCCCCACTGAGGACAAAATTACCCCCTTTTGAGAACTACTGGTATAGACTTACACTGTTTAGTACAGTAGCCACTAGAAACATGTGACTATTTAAACTTAAATTAAGATTAAAAGCTCAGTTTCTGGGGCAGGCGTGGTGGTTTATTCCTGTAATCTTAGCACTGGGGAGGCTGAAGTAGGTGGATTCCTGGAGCTCAGGAGTTAAGGACCAACCTAAGCATGAGTGAGACCCTGTCTCTACTAAAAATAGAAAACTTAGCTGGACATTGTGGCAGGTGCCTGTAGTCCCAGCTACTCAGGAGGCTGAGGCAAGAGGATTGCTTGAGCCCAAGAGTTTTTGGTTGCTGTGAGCTATGACACCATAATACACTACTCAGGGCAACAGAGTGAGACTCTTGTCTCAAAAAAAAAAAAAAAGCATATTTCTCTGTCACACTAATCATGGTAGTGGTGGGGGGTACAATATAGCTTTAGGCTATTCCCATAATTGCAGAAATTTCTGTTTGTTGGACAACGCTGGTCTACACTGACTCAGATTTATTTTTCAGGAAGATCACAGAAACCCAAATAAACCAGATACTTTTTCTTTCTGTTTCTTTTTATTTATCAAACACCACAGGTCCTGCACAGGTCCTGTGGATGGAGATATGAATTGTATTTAACCAGATTGCTGTCCTCACATCTTAGTTAGAGAGACAGTTAAAAATGCAGTCACCAGGCTCAGCGCCTGTAGTTCAGCAGTTAGGGTGCCAGCCACATACACCAGGGCTGGCAGGTTGGAACCAGCCTGGGCTTGCCAAACAATGACATTTACAGCAACAACAAAAATAGCCAACTCGGTGCCTGTGGCTCAAGTGGCTAAAGCGCCAGCCACATAACACCTGAACTGGTGGGTTTGAATCCAGACTGGGCCTGCCAAACAACAATGATGGCTGCAACCAAAAAAAAAAAAAAAAAAAAAATAGGCCTTGTGTGGGCACCTGTAGTCCCAGCTACTTGGGAGGTGGAGGCAGGAGACTCACTTGAGCCCAAGAGTTGGAGGTTGCTGAGAGCACTCTACCTAGGATGACAGCTTGAGGCTCTGTCTCAAAAAAAAAAAAAGAAAAAGAAAAGAAAAATTAGCTGGGCTGGGCAGCACCTGTGGCTCAAAGGAGTAGGGCGCTGGACCCATATGCTGGAGGTGGCAGGTTCAAACCCAGCCCCAGCCACAACTGCAAAACAAAAAAAACAATTAGCTGGGCTTGTGGTGCATGACTGTAGTCTCAGCTACTTGGAAGCCTGAGGCAGGAGGATTGCTTGAGCCCAGCAGTTACTGTGAGCAAAGCTAATGCCAGGTCACTCTAGCCTAGAGCAACAGACTGAGACTCCATCTCAAAAAAAAAAAAAAAGTTAGCTGAGCATGGTGATGCACCTCCATAGTCTTAGCAACCAAAGAGTCTAAGGGAGAAGGATCTTTTGAGCATAAGAATTCAAGGTCACAATGAGCTATGATTGAACCATTGCACTCTTGCGTTAGTGACAAAAGTGAGACCCTTTCTCTCTCTCTTTTTTTTTTTTTTGTAGAGACAGAGTCTCACTTTATTGCCCTTGGTAGAGTGCTGTGGCATCACAGCTCACAGCAACCTCCAGTTCCTAGGCTTAGGCAATTCTCTTGCCTCAGCCTCCAGAGTAGCTGAGACTACAGGCGCCTACCACAAGGCCTGGCTATTTTTTGTTGCAGTTTGGCTGGGGCCGGGTTTGAACCCGCCACCCTCTGTATATGGGGCCAGCGCCCTACTCCTTTGAACCACAGGCGCCACCCCGAGACCCTTTCTCTTAAAAAAAATTGTCAGGAGAAAAAGGGTGAAAAGGACATTTGGTTATGAACCAACATGGTTTTGCCTCAGGCAAAGTTAGCTTGCTGGACCCTAAACTTTAAAAAGGATGAAGTGGCTCAGCGCCTGTGGCTCAAGCGGCTAAGGCACCAGCCACATACACCTAAGGTGGAGGGTTCGAATCCCCAGCCCAGGTTTGCCAAACAACAATGATGGCTGCAACCAAAAAATGGCCGGGCGTTGTGGCGGGCGCCTGTAGTCCCAGCTACTTGGAAGGCGGAGGCAGGAGACTCGCTTGAGCCCAGAAGTTGGAGGTTGCTGTGAGCGTGATGCCATGGCACTCTACCCAGGGGGATAGCTTGAGGCTCCGTCTCAAAAAAAAAAAAAAGAAAAAAAGGATGAAGTGAAAAGACTACCCTTTTCATTTCCCACATTTGCTCATCCTGATATATATATATATGTGTGTGTGTGTGTGTGTGTGTGTGTGTGTGTGTATACATATATATATATCGCTGTGGTTGTAAACTGACTTGTGGTAATCTGGATAAAGTGGCCAACCATCATGTATTCTATAAATATGAACCGAGGACCCATTTTGAAGATCCAGGCGCTGGAAATAGAGCAATGAGCCTGACAGAAACCATGGTGCTTCAACTCTTGGGGTTGGTGTGTGGCGGGGGTAGATGGACTAACAAAATACTTAATATGCCAAATAGTGATAAGTACATACCATGGAGAAATATAAAGCTGGGAAAGAGATAGGAGTGCTTGGGGGTAGGGAAATGCAATATTAAACAGAATGGTCAGGGAAAGCCTTTTGAAGGTGAGCAAAGACTGAAAGAAAATTACAGAATGCGCCACATGGATAATTAGGTGACCTAGAGGGAACAAGTGCAAAATGAACATGTGCGTTGTGGCTAGCACATTGAAAGAATAGCAAGTAGGGCAGCACAACGACCAGAGGAGGGAGGGAGTGAATTTAGAAGTCAAGTAAGGGGGATGGGGAGCTGCATTGGTTGAAGCCTAGTAGGCCATTGTAAAGACTTTGGCTTTTATTCTTAATGAAATGGTAGCCAGTGGGCCATTTAAACAGGGGGAGTGATGCGCTCTTAAATGTTTTTTTTTTTTTTTTTTGACAGTTTCATTGTGTCGCCCTCAATAGAATGCAGTGGCTTCACAGCTCATAGCTACCTCAAACTCTTGGGCTTAAGCGATTCTCTTGCCTCAGCCTCCCAAGTAGCTGGGACTACAGGCGTCCACCACAACGCCCGGCTTTTTTTGTTGCAGTTGTCATTATTGTTTTAGCTGGCCCGGGCCGGATTCGAACCTGCCAGCCTGGGTGTATGTGGCTCTTAAATTTTATAAGGATTGCAAAGGCATCTAGGAACCCAAGGCAGTCATAATACCCTGCCACTGGGTTAGGGAGGAATTCCTGGAAGAATGACTTCTGAGGACCAGTAGATGTTAGCCAAGCAACCTATGGGGCTTGAAGAAAACGGGATCCAGCTGCGAATGGAAGAGAGCACAGCGCCCGCCCCGAACTGGGTGGGACCCTAAGAGGCCAGCGGGAGTAGCAGTGATCGCAAGCTGAAGTAGGAAGGACTGCAAGCAGGCTCTGGAATAAAGCTGGGCCGGCGGGGCTAGGCTGAGGTGGGATGACTGGGCAGAAGTCAACGTACTTAGCAAGGAAGAAGCCGGAGCCTCTGCGGAGACGCCCGACTACAACTACCACTATCCTTAGCGCGCACAGTTCCGGCGTCGCCACGTTTAGACAGACTGTGGGTCTGCGCGGGACCGGGCGTGGGGTCACGTGGTGCAAGCGAGTCACGTGGGCGAGTCAGGTGACGCTGCGGGGCGGGACGACAGCCTGCGGGGCGGACAGTGGACGCAGGGACGCGGTGTTAGCTCTGGCCCCACCGCTCCGACCCCCGCCGTCGTTGCCGCCATGACCGGGCTAGCGCTGCTCTACTCCGGGGTCTTCGTAGCCTTCTGGGCTTGCGTGCTCGTCGTGGGTGAGGCGGGGTCCTGGCGGGCGGGGGGCAGTGTGAAGCCGAGCTGGAGCCAGGCGGGGGAAGTGATGTGCAGGGAATACTGAGTTCCAAAGCGGGCTTTGTACCCCCAGCTTCGAGACTGGCCTCACGACTGTTGAGTCTCCGACTCAGACGGAGGAGACCTAGACCTCCACCTGCTTGAGGAAGGGCGCGGGCGGAGGATGGTGGGGGCAGTACCAGGCCCTTTCTGTCACTGTCACCATCTCCTCTACTCTGCTGTTGTCCCTTTTCTTGCTGCTGACCGGCCTGCTTGGGTCACAAGCCGGCTGCTCCAGTTCCTCTTTTCGTGGTAGTTTTGCCCTCCCCCACCCACGGCTTGTTGAGTAAACAGCAGCTCGTACTGAGCTGGCGGGATCTGGTGGGGCCTGGCCGAAGCGTTTGTTCCCTTCTTTCCTCCACGGTATTGAGGCTTGTCGGTAGCGTGCATGTGGAGGATCTTGCTCTGGGAGGTGGTGTCGTTGGGGGAGGTACGTTATTGAAGGAGTGTCAGAAGATGGAGACCTGAGCAGAGAAATCTATATGGACAGCTGTACTTGCATCTGGGGGCTGTTTTGAGGCTCTCCCTTGATTCAGCAAATGTTTAGGGAGGTGACCCTTCACCTGGGCAGCTGCTGCTTCTCTGGGTTGGGGAGCTCCTCCCTAGAGAGTGCCTAACCCCGTTTTTTTTCTGACTGCTGCAGGAATCTGCTACACCATTTTTGACTTGGGCTTCCGCTTTGATGTGGCATGGTAAGGGAGGGAGGGCAGGGAGAGAATTCCCCCAGGAGCTTCGTCTCTGCAGCCTTCCCTCTTCCCTGGTCTGAGCCCCTCCCTCATGCCACCCCCAGCTGCCTGAGAACGTGGACCTTTGGAAGATGTGAAGTTTATTGTTGCGGACCCAGAACTCGTGGGGGTATAGGAGAGGTGGGAGGCTAAGAATTTTGTGCCTCTCTTCCCTGCCAGGGTTGAGTTACTTTTTATCCTGTCTCCACACCAGGTTCCTGACTGAGACTTCACCCTTCATGTGGTCAAATCTGGGCATCGGCCTAGCTATCTCCCTGTCTGTGGTTGGGGCAGCTTGGTGAGTGTTGGGGTGGTGGGACTGGGGTCAGGGACTGAGTCATGGCAGGTGGTGTCACTGGGTTCTTAGTCATCCTGGGGGCAGTGACAGTTGGGTTCTGCTCATCAGTTTCTTACCCTTTCACCAGGGGCATCTATATTACTGGCTCATCCATCATTGGGGGAGGGGTAAAGGCCCCCAGAATCAAGACCAAGAACCTGGTCAGGTAAGTGTAGGGGCCCTTGGGAAGTTGTCGGAACCAGCTGTGATTAGAGCTACTTGTGTGTTTGAAATGACATGCTGCTTCTGCCAAGCCGCCTGGTGAGATGGGATGTTAGTAGAAGGGATTTTCTGGGGAGGAAGATTGGTTTCTTTCTCATCTCTTTTCCCCTCTCCTCTCCACCCCCTACCCCCACCTCTGCCACTACCAGCATCATCTTCTGTGAAGCTGTGGCCATCTACGGCATCATTATGGCAATTGTCATTAGCAACATGGCTGAGGTATGGGAGACCAGGGTGGAGGTGGTCACCCATTCCAATGTTTTCTACACATTACTTAGAGATGGGAAGGTGCATAAGAGGTGGTTTCTGTTTACTTTTCTGCCTCCCTCAGCCTTTCAGTGCCACTGACCCCCAAGCCATTGGCCATCGGAACTACCATGCAGGTAGGTAGGTGGGTGTATGTGAAGGTAAAAAGCCCTCTTGCCTTCCACCTTGGACTTCATGTTTTGATATGCTTTCACCTACTTTGTCCTGCTTAGTGGATTTGGGGTGGGCATTATCCCTATTAGCCCACATTGGTCCTTGTTTTCATTTTTCCCTATGCCTGACTGGGGCTCAGGGTGCCCCTCTCTATCCTCCCAGGCTACTCCATGTTTGGGGCTGGTCTCACAGTGGGCCTTTCCAACCTCTTCTGTGGAGTCTGCGTGGGCATCGTGGGCAGCGGTGCCGCCCTGGCTGATGCTCAGAACCCCAGCCTCTTTGTAAAGATTCTTATCGTGGAGATCTTTGGCAGCGCCATCGGCCTCTTTGGGGTCATCGTCGCAATTCTTCAGGTGCCAAATACCCCTTCGGGGCCTCTGTATTCTTGTCTTCAACCTACCTTTATCCTCCTTATAAAAGAAGCTGAAGAGCTCCTCATCTCTACTTAAAACCATAGAACCGCCCAAGAGCTTCCACTGTCTCATTCCTATTTTCTAGTTCTCTTTTTGAGGCTTTCAGTTTGTTTTTGTCTCTGATCTGATGTCACTGACAATCATCCTGTTCCTTTCTCTAAAGCTTTGTAGGTGTTCAGCTCTCATTTAGTCTCTTGTATCATTCTGTTTTTCTGCCATTCTCTTCCTGTCTCTGTATTTCTTTGTGGTTTAGACTAAGTTGGGATTTTGTCTGTATTAGTCTGTCTTTGTGTGTTTAACTGTCAGAGCCTGTGTGTGTCTCTGTGACAATCCTCTCAGTAGGAAAGCATATCTGAAATATATGTTTCCTGCCTGACGGTATATGGGTTTGTAACTAAGGGTCAGCCTGAGGGTCTGAGTGTGACTCTTGGTGAATGGCTTTGTCCAGATTATACTTCTTTCCATCTGTCCTACACTCCGACTCTGTGGTTATCTGACTATCCCTGTTAATCTGTGTGTATCCATCATGTGTATGTCCATCTGGTTGGTCATCCATTTGTTGTGGTCTGTCCATCTACCCATGGGTTTGCCAGGTCTCTTCTCTGTCATTTATTTCTATCTTATCCATTATTTATCTGTCCCTGCCTGATTTCTCCTATTTTATTTATTTATTTATTTTTTTTGCAGACCTCCAGAGTGAAGATGGGTGACTAAATCTGTGTGGGTGAGGCTGAGCTTCAATCTTATTTATTGCTGGTTTTCCTGGGACAGCTGGAGCTGTGCCCCTTAGCCTTTCAGGGGCTTGGTGTTCCTTGTACTCACCACTTGATGCCTGCAGACTTGGAGGCACTACAGTCCAGACTGAATCTTCAGTGTGGGGAATGGGCCACTGATGGCAACTGTGTGCGCGATTGTGCACCTTTGTCCCCCACCTCCACCCCAACCCATCTTCCCACTGTTTGTGAAATAAATGTGTTATTTGTCTGGGTCAGTGTAGCTTTTGTTGCCCACTTGCGCCACCTTTCACGGAGGAAGTGTAAATGGGCCTTTGCTCCTCAACTTAGTACTAATCTCTTCTAACTTTCTGACTCTGTACACATCTCTGCTCTGGACAGAGGTGGCTCCTGGGTAGGGAAGTAAGGGTGCTGGAGAGGGTTACATAGTTCCTAAGTATCTTCGTTGAAGGGGACAAGGGAGTCCAGGGAAATGGGTATGTTTGCCTGGAGTCCTCCTAGCCTCCTGTCCTCAGCATTCTGCACTCTCTCCGGTAGGCCCAAATTGTCAAACCACATGTACTTACCTGGCTCTACCCTCAGACATCATCACCCCCTATCCCTGTGAGTTTGGGGGGCCCATTCCTGTGCCTCAGCCTCGCTAGCAGTAAATTACTGTCCCAGCCCCCATCCCTTTCCAGCAACCTCTGCTCTGATCTCTACTCTGTTCAAGGGGCTTGTCCAGCTCCTACTTCTGTCCGATCTCGTGGGGTTTTTTTCCCCTCTTACCCAAACTGTTACCCTGGAAACCGCGGCCACTTCCAGTCCATGTCTTAAAAGGGTCCTGCCCACTCAGCAGCCCCCTCTCTGCTGACCAACCTTCAATCACGCCCCCCCCCCCCATTAGTTGACAAATTTCTAAGCTGCTGCTTGAGTTGGCCCAACCTCTGGGCCCCCTCCCTTAGCTGAGTTCACGCTCCAACTCAGCCCCTCACCGCACTCAGAAGTTTGACCGTTCCATACCCTCTCTCTGACAACCCGTTGGATGGACCTGGCCAATTTCCTACGCCTCCGCGCCCCTGCCAGGTTCGGAGCCTCTTTAGTGGCCTGGATGGGCCCCGGGCCTGGGCGGACCTCTGAGCTGCGCGCGGCGGGTGCCGGTGCGCTGGAGGCGGGGGCCGCGGAGGC